ATCGCCCTGGCATGAACCCGAACTGGTTGTCTGAAATAGACACCGTCCTTCGCACTCTCATTTTCTACCACTCTCTCCCAGACTTTCATGGTATGACTTAATAATTTAATACCCCTATAGTTGTTACAGATCTGGATATCGCCTTTGTTCTTATACAACGGGACCATTGTACTCCACCTTCACTCTCCACTCTATATTTACAAATAAAGCAAAACTAAATTTCTTTAATTATGTATAAGTTGTTAAATTCCCTTGACCTAAAAGAAAAGTCAAGTAAAGAGGTAAAATGGTTTAGAATATCTTGTGTGAATTATTACGAAGTGCGTATAAAAAATTATAAAATTTCAATTGAATAGATATTCTGAATTGTTATTCACTATGTACAAAATTTAATATAGTAACAATTTAAAACAAAGGGTAGCAGCAACAGTTTTGAATATTCGTGAGCAGAATATTCTCAAAGTGTCACAATAATGAATTCTCAATTTATGTTCGATTTTTCTTTTTCTTCCATAATTGTGCTTCATATCCACGTTGAAACACTTATTAATTAATTAAGTGATATATTTAGTTGCAAATTCCAAGTTAGTTTGACCCAAAATCAACTTTGTAGGCTTGTCAAGTGTATTTTATATGGGAAAAGAATTCCAGTCTTAGGCGATTTACAATTGTATCCTCAAGTTATATAAATATTTAAGGTTATAAAAATCGATCAATATTTTGAGGATATTTTAGTCGTTCAACATTTAACATAAATTATTCGTGCTTTTATAATATATATATATATATATATATATATATATATTATATTATAGAAAGAGAAATATAATCCAGCTAAATCAACCAAATGCTAGGGGTAAAAATTTCACGTAAATTGAATGGTCAATTTCAGCATTCATTTAAATAAAGGGATATTAATTTAAATAATTTAAATTAAGGGAAATCATTTGACTGTTTTAGCTATGCTTGTTAGGATGATCAATGATAACTTGAAACATAATACTAACTAAAGTTTATCCATTCTTAATTTGCTTATGCTTGCAGTTAATTAATTACGTGTCGTTTTTTTTGCAAACTGCGATTAAACGTAAGTTATAGTTTTGTCTCCTTTGGAAGTAGAATTGGATTAATATTGTATAATACGTACCGATAGATAGAGGCGGAGCTAAAATTTTCATTAAGGATATATAAAAGAAAATATACCAAAAAATTAAGGGTAGTCAATATATAATATATATATGCATAGAAATATTTTTTTTACCTAATTACATAGTGTATTTTTCCGTTGATAGACATTAATGTGGCGGCATAATGTTGATTAAAAGGTGATTAGGTCAAGCTAATTAGAATACGTGGCAGAAATCCAAGGGCAGGTTGAACCTAATTAAGATGAAATATCTGATATAAAAAATCTGTTGGAAACTAAAACATAATCCAGAAACTTACTATGTATAGCTAAGAAGTTGAAGATTAAATAGGAAACTGAAGTTGGTGAAGAAAAATGCCCAAGATTCCATCGACCAATTTTCGTTCACACTATTGCCATCTTTTATTTCCTGATTATTTTTATTCCTTCTTGTCGACAACTAGATTTTAGCTCTTTCTTCTTAATACCACCATTCGTTAATTCAATCTGTATTTCCATTAAATAAAATAAATATACGTGTGCACACGTAGATATGTACATATAACTTGTCCATATAGTAATGAAATAACCAGGGGTGGAGTAAAGATAAGAACTATAAATTGAGGGTTCGAATTCATCTCTTTCCTTTTTTGCTAATTGAAATCCTTTTTATTTTATTCTTCATATCCAGAATTACATATTGGGCGCTGAATAATTCACATCACTTCTGCTTCTATTGGAAGGAAAAGAATAAGGATCTTCTGTGGATCCCTCTTGTTCGAAACCCATTGTAAAGGACAGTGCAATGCAAGAGAAATCATACAAAAATTATCGAATCTTTATATGTTTTGAAAAAGATATTAGGTGTTCGGAAATGGTGAATAAAAGAATTAAATCCTTTTAAGAAATAAAGTTTTTGATCGAAATAGGAATCAGACCGAAAGGATATACAAATAAATAATATGTTTTGACATGAAATGAATATAGCCATTTAATCCCAAGATATTGATCTCTGACTCGAAAAATAAATGTTTGAGCTTGAGAAGCTTTTGGTCTAAACTATTTTTTGGACATATAATTGCAAAAGAGTCGTAGATTCAAAAGTCGCTAAAAATAATAATTTTTGGAATTCATGAGTTATGACTCTAAAGCAAAAAAGCAAGATGCATTAATTAGTGTATTCGTCTTTGTACGTTAGTACTAATTTTTGGCCTGCAGCTAGTGCGATTAACTAATAAAATAGTTATTTCTCACTTGTTGGAAAATTCATATTGTGTTTGAAACCAATAAATTTAATCCAAGAATTTGAGCTTAAATATATATAAACGTGTAGGCCTAAAAAAGAACCACATTGGTGCATTGGATATATCTTCGACTCCATTGACAATGTCCTGTTCACATGTGATCTAACTTACTTTCCTTCTCATTTATCTTATTTTATTTTATTTTTGTTCTTTGTAGACCCTATCTTCTTGTTCCTTTCACATTAAAAAATGTCAATGTAGGTATTTTTCTATAATTTGGTAGGTAGCAGAAGCGTGGATTAAACGCAAAACACGAAATAAACCTAATTTCAAGATGATAAATATCTGTAATTAGATAAATTGTAAGATGAAACGTAACAAGACCAACCTCACATAAAGATACACGTAAGCTCAATGCACAAAACATTCCGTATTTATATAGGGCCCGAAAAAGAGCTACATTCCAAGGTGTAACAAAACATTCCACATTATGTAGGGTCTAGGAAAGGGCCACATTCCAAGGGGCGTAATATAGATAGTCTACCCTAATACAAGTATTAGTGGTTGCTTCCACGATTCGAACTGGTGACCTATAAGTCGGACGGAAATAATTTTACTGTTATTCCAAGGCTCCACTTTCTCAAATAAGATCCACGTAAATATCAAATTTTGCAAAGGGTTTTTATTTCCAAAAAAATTGTTTGTTTTCTTGTCGTAAAAATCCATGCAAAATAAGGAAAGTTTGAATCTAAAGTCATAACCTTTTAAGACATTTTGGACAGTTTCAGACTTCTTCGAGAATAGTATACTTTATATTATATTGTCAAAGCAAAATATTGATCGAGTAAATTGAAAAGTAGATAGTTCAACTAATCAATATCCTTTGTCTGCCACCCATAATTTCCTAAAATAAGAAAAACCAATTCTTACTCTATGTCCTTCCCACCACTTTCCTCAACCCTTGGTCAGTTGGTCCTCTCCCTAATTAAAGGGTATAAATATAGATGTTTCATGTAAATTCTAAATCTTCCACCTCTTTCATTTTACACATATTAATGAGAAAATTATACTTATAAGTTATAAAAGTTCATTTATATATACTAGTATATACTTAGTAATTTCTTTTGTGTAGAGAGACAGCTCTTCTTTGCCTCAACTTTTGATCTCCACCAGCGAGATAACTGTCTAAATCATTTGACGCGCTTCTTCTCACTGAGCAATCACTCGACTTCCACTTCAGGTTCGGGGAAAACTTATACTTCGTAATTTCTTTTGTGTAGAGAGAAAGCTCCTCGTTTGCCCCAACATTCGATCTCCACCAGCGCGACAATTGTTCTAATCATTTGACGCTTTTTTTCACTGAGCAGACCCTCGACTTCCACTTCAGGTTCGGGGAAAACTTATAGGGAGAAAGATATGGGAAATTGTTGCTTTAAACATGGATCTAACATGGTATGGGCAGGAAACGATGATGAAGAGTGGGAATGTGTCGTAGCGCCAAAAACTTTAGTTGAAGAGAAAGAAAAATTGTTGAGTGATAATTCCAAAGACTTATTCTCATCTTCATCTTCATCATCATCTTCTTCTTCTCTTTCTTCGTCGACGAATAATTACAAAGAGGTGAAGATTAGAATATCAAAAAAGGAGCTAGAGAAAATGCTAGGGAAAATTGAGAATATGGAGGAAGTAACAATGGACCAACTCTTGTCTGGATTTTTGAATTCTAGCAATAATAGCTTTGAATGTGAGAATTTTCAGCGTCAACGCTCCTGGAAACCTCGTCTTCAGAGTATTCCTGAGATTGATTGACGTTGGGAAAACCCAGAGGCGAATGCAAGATTTATAGTCAGTGCGTTCAAAATGAATATTATATAATATTCCGCATATATATGTGCTTATATATCGAGCCAAAAGCAATGAGTTCACGAGGTGGCGAAGGATTTTTGTTTCCTTCCTAATTTTCTCTGCCTTCTTTAATTTGTTTCTTTTTGTTTATACATTTTTAGGTTTTAGGTGTATTTATTGATAACGTTGTAAAGGAATTAACTGGATTACTCAATATTTCTGTATAAAGTTTATTATATTTCTAAGGCCTTTGAAAAAAATTAATAATTGTTTAGTCCGAATATATTAGTAATTCAAATTAAGAAAAAATAAAAGAAATTGAACAAATACAAAGTCAGAATTCTTTTATTCATATTATATTATATTATTCAACGTGGAGATCCATTTAGCCAATATGGCTTTGGGTAGGTCTTATAAGCAGTTTTGTCTGTCATTGCTTTTCTGTAAATATTTCGATTTTCAGATTCAATGTTTGAAATTCTTCTTATATTGAATTTATTTCACCTCAAGTCAGGGGCGGATTTATGTACATAATTGGGGGTGGTACTCCACCCGGACGCTCGGGTAAAAATTTGGGCGTGTATATATGCATTTTGACATTTTACAAACAAGTTCCTATATATTTTAAGGACAGCACTCGGTATTATATGTGGGCTCTAGGTGCCGGTTAAAAACCAATAAATCCGGATCTTAGATGCAGGATCGAATCCGTGATGTTCCCCCTTTCCTTCTCTTAATTTTTTGTATTTCTTCATCTTTTGATTTCTTTTCTTGGTACAACTATTTTATTATTTATTAAATAATATATTTGCTTCTTTTTTCTTTGACTTGATCTTCAATATTTTATTGAATGTGACTTTAATATTATCTCTTTTTATCCATATAATATATTTGCTAATTTAAAATTTTATTTTAATTTTGTGCATCTAATCACATCATTCAATAGAGTTAGAGAATTAAATTGAATTAGACAAAACTTATTCGGTTTGATGGTTATATATTTATTTATGCACCAAATCTGGTAAATTGAACCTAATTAATTCAAAATAGATCGAACTAAACCAAAGTGAATCGAATAGTTCAAAATGGATCAAACCAATAAAATGTGCACCATAATTCAATCTCTTAGACTAATGGTAGGTTTGTATTAAAAAGTGGCATCCGTAGCCATCAAATCCTGAATCCGCCACTGCCTCAAGTATTAAACGGTCGTCTATCTGTCTTGTCAAATTGTTAGCTTAACCAAACTATGACTCAATCGTAAAAGGTGTGCGTTCATTATTATATTGGTCTCTGGATTTAGGAATCCATGTACAAGTTGCTAGGTTTGAATTGAAATTAAAATAAGTATTTTAAATTAGAAAAATTAATCGTGATAGGTTATGTACTTGAATTTCTTTTTTAAGTTTATGAGTGAAAAGTAGTAGGAGCATTTCACTTGATATACTGATCATGACCAAACAAGTATTTTTGAGTGTGATCTTGATTGTTTTCATTATTTTATATTGTTAATTCGTTGGCATTATGTGGAGACTATCATATTCTTTTTATTTATAGCCATTAGCCAAATGCACTTCAAATTTATCTGGATTATATTTTATTATCTGGATTGCCAAGCTCCTTAAAAGGATTAGCGAATAAGGTTTTCACCACATCAATCAATAATTCCAAACTAAGCATTTTAGGGTGTGTTTGGCATGGATTTTCATGGAAAATGAGTAGTTTTTTTGGGTAATTAATCACTTTTATATTAATAACCGATAAAACTATACAAAATCATAACATCACTTACACAACTAACTATCTCATTACAACTCTATCACCTATTTAACATGAAATCTATACACTCAAACAAAAATATAACTTTGTACTAATCGCTGATTGACAGTAGTAGCTCTAATATTGCATATGTATGCTACTCATGTGCAATAACATTCCAATTTCGAGCCCTTTTTTCAAAGATCCTCACAGAAATAATATTCACGATAATAACAGCGGAACAATAATGTAGTACCGAAATACAGTAATCAACAAGAATAAAAGGAATAACAAGGACACAAAAATTTTTAATGTGGAAAACCCTTCTGAATAAGGGGAAAATACACAAGCCCGAGAGGAGCAAAGTAATCCACTATAATGAAGAATTTTACACCCAGTAGTCCGAGTAAAATACTCCAGGGACCACTATACACTCAAAAGAAATAACCATCTTTTAAGATTCCCACCTCACTACAATATCGCACACGCTCTCTATTTTCCCTCACAGATTATACCGCCTGTGAATACCTGACGCTGCTCTCTAACTCTCAAATATATTTTGCTCTGAGATTGGTGTATTAAATAAGAAGCTGAAGCTCCCTTTTATAGGAGAAATGGTCGACCTCTTCAACCAATCAAATTGATTGGCTTTAGCAAGTTGCTGTTGCAACTTGCCAATTTGCAAGAATGCAAACTGTTGCCAAAACCGATTTGGCAAAACCTGTATGGAATTTGACATTCCTTTTTCTTTTTCTTTTTCATTATGGGGATGGACCCCACAATCTCCCCTCCAGACTCATCCACTTGAAGGAGATATCATCGGACTTCTAACTTGAGTACATGCCGACAAGTTCTCTTGCACAACTCGAACTTGTCTCTTTGTACCACCTTGGTCAGCATATCTGTGGGATTCTCACTTGTAGAAATTTTCAAGACTTTTAGAGATTCATTCTCTACCATTTCTCGAATCTAGTGATATCTCACATCGGTGTATTGTACATGGAGTCCTTACTAATATCTATTGCACTTTGACTGTCACAATAGACGACATACTCCTTCTGATGCAATCCAACTTCTTGAACGAACCGTATCAACCATATCATCTCCTTGCCAGCTTTAGTAGCGGCAATATACTCTACTTCAGTTGTAGAGAGTGCGACACACTTCTGCAACCTCGACATTCATGATATAGCTCCCCCTGAAAATATAAATAAATATCCAGTAGTGGATTTTATGTTATCAATGTCACATGCCATATCAACATCTGTATAGCCCTTCAAGATTGGATTAGATCCTCCAAAGCACAAACAATCTCATGTGGTACCTCTCAAGTACCTAAGTATCCACTTGACTACTTCCCAGTGTTCTTTTCCAGGATTTTCAAGAAACCTGCTGACAACACCAAGTGCGTGAGCAATATCTGGTCTAATGCATACCATTGAATACATCAAGCTTCCAACGGCAGAGGAATAAGGAACTTTGGTCATGATCTCCTTTCCTCCATTGTTGTAGGACACATCTTCTTGCTTAACTTCAGATGACTAGCAAGGGGTGTGCTGATTAGCTTAGCATTCTTCATATTGAAGCGTTCCAGTACACGTTCAACTAACTTTTCTTGAGACAGTCACAACTTTCTGCTTGTTCGCTCTCGAACAATCTTCATTCCAAAAATTTATTGTGCTGGGCTCAAGTCCTTCATATCAAATGACTTGGACAAGTCTCCCTTCAACTTTGCGATCAACTCCTTGTCTTTTCTTACAATTAACATGTCATCCACATACAACGTTGTTGTCAGAAAATCTTTTGAAGTATACATATGGATCATAATATGTCTTTTTGTAAGTTCGACTTTTCATGAATGAGTCAAACTTCTTGTACCATTGCCTTGGTGCTTGCTTCAATCCATAAAGACTTATTTAATTTGCACACCGTGTGTTTTTTTCTAGCTACTTCAAATGCTTCTGGCTGCTCAACATAAATCTCCATAAAGAAATGTAGTTTTCACGTCCAACTACTCCACTTCAAGATCTAGGCTAGCTGCTAAGCTCAAAATGGTTCGAATAGAAGTCATTTTGACAGTAGGTGAGAAATTTTTGTCAAAATCAATACATTTCATCTATTCGAAGCCTTTTACCACCAATCGAGCTTTGTATTTGACCGGCTTGCCATTTTCATCTTTCTTGAGTTTAAAGACCCATTTGCATTTAACTGGTATTTTACCCTTTGGAAGTTCAACCAACTTGTACGTGCCATTTTTCTGTAGAGATTCCATCTCTTCTTTCATGGCTTTCATACACTGGTTCTTTTCTAGATGAGACAATATCTCCTTAAGACTTTCTGGTTCCCCCTCATCACTGATGAGGACATACTCTGTGGAAGGGTACCTGCATGACTCTACCCTTAGCCTATCTGATCTCTTCAAAGGTTGAGGTTGTTCTTCTTCATGAGTGGGGTACTCCACTTGCTCGACATCATCATCAAGTTGCTTTCCCGGCTCAATAACCTCACCAGGTTGCTCCCCCTGCTCGGCAACCTCGTCGGTCCTACTTTCTGCACTTGTGGGATTATTAGATATAGAAGGAATGGTAACAAGGTTAGGGATTATACCATTCTTGGTCTTCTCTGACTGATCATCTACAACTCCAACTTCACTTTCTCGGAAGATTACATCTCTGCTTCTGATGATCTTCTTCTTTACAAGATCCCACAATCTGTACCCAAACTCTTCATCTCCATATTCGATGAATATGCAGGGAACAAATTTATCATCTAGCTTTATTCTCTGCTTCTTTGGTACATGTGAAAAAGCTCTGCAACCGAACACCTTCAAATGTGAGTAGGACACCTCCTTGTTGGTTCAAACTCTCTCTAGGATGTCAAACGCCAACGAAACTAATGGAATCCTATTGATCAGGTAACAGGCTGTCTGAACCGCTTCACCCCAGAATGACTTAGGCAGTTTAGCCATTCTGAGCATGTTTCTCACCTTCTTCACAATGGTGCGGTTCCTCTTTTCGGCTATGCTATTGTGTTGTGGGGTTCCAGGAACTATCTTTTCATGTATGATCCCATAGCTCGAACGGTACTCTTCAAATTCCTTTGAAGTGTACTCACCTCCATTGTCATTTTGGAGATGCTTTAGCTTTTGGCCTGTCTTTCTTTCTACCAGAGCATGAAACTTCTGGAAAACTTGAAACACCTGATCT